CGGATGTGTTTTAATTTCTTATAAAAACCTTTTATCGTTAATGCGTATTCTTTTCTTGCTATTCTCTTGGTTCTAATCCTTACTCATCAATACATATTAGAGTAATTATAACATCATGCGAGTTTTGATTATTTGCCTTAATCAAAGAAAATCTAAACAATCCAAATGATTCTAAATCATTGCATCGTGTTGTAAACCAGTTCGAACGGAAAAGAGATAATCTTCAAAATTTGAGAAATTTTCTTTTTTTCTTCAGAAGACTTTTATTGCTTAGTTACTGACTGATCTTCCAAATAGCCCTTGACTCAGCCTCAAAATCCAGTCTGTTTTAGTACAGATCTTCAAATCGGCCTATCTCTCCTATTCCTGGAGATCCCGGCACACAAAAATAACCGTTCAATAAATCGATTCAACGGATGCAATTGTGGGTAAATAACTAGATCGATTATTTCCAACATTCAATTAAATAAAGACTTGATGAACTTGGTTCTGTATTTTTTCTGTTCTGCTACTACCGATTTTTTTCTGTACTCTCATATGTATAGATGCCTAGGCATTAGAACAAAGAGAATATTAAGAAAAACAAAATGAACTAATAATAGCGTTACATATTAAAACAAACAGTTCTTATCGAAATTTTATTATAAGGATATTAGTTGAAGAATGATTGAATCTCGCAGAAACATCGAGCATTGTTTTTACTATCAGATATTATAAAAATTTTCTTTAACCTTTTTATAGAGAATTAGAATACCCCTATCGCTATTTTTGCTACGCTCTAAGTAGGTTTCTTACGAAGTCTAAGTTCGCGCCTGAATAAAAGAGTGTTAGGGGTACGCTCAATAACTCGACAACGGTAACAGATAGTGACCTACGATTTTCAGAAATCGAAGGAGGAGAATTCCGGTCATCTTTTTGTCTGATACAATATAAAGCAAATTTATTTTAAAATCCATCATCTTCGCAAAACATTCAACGATGTTCTGTTCGAAGGAAATTTTGACAAAAATTCAGAAAACCTGCTAAAAATCAAAAGCGTTCTATATAATTTGACTGAATAGACACGCAATTTTGTTTTGTTCAACATTGAAATATGAGGAAATAGTCACTTGAATCGTGTCTTGAGCTATAGGTTTGAAATCTCTATCACAAACACATGTTAACATGAAAATTATATCGAAACAAAGCTCCATTTTCATGTACTCTTTTGATGTTTTTGTGAAGATGTTAAGCTTTTAAAATAAGCATTAGATAAAAAGATGCTCGGGATTCTCCTATTTGAATTTCTGAAAATCGTAGGTCACTAACTATTATCATTGTCGAGTTATGAAGATTATACTCATTCGTCCTTGATTCTGGCTCGAACATCAGCAATTAATCATGTAATTAAGAGTCAAAATAACGTTTGTTAATCTTTCATCATTATATTTTCGATGTCTGATTTGAAAAAAGAAATTGGTGTTCTTTTACTCGGCACCATCATATAGTTTTAAAAACAGTTTATAGACATATAATCCGCGAAAAATCTAAAATTACATTATAAATTACTTAATAATATACGTCAAAATAAATAGACTACTACATTACCGTTTGACAAAGTGAATAAAACTATAAGAATTCGGAATTCATATGGTTTCTGTCTATAACAATAAAGTTTTTTGATTGTAAACTTGAACAAATGGAGTTTCTCTTGTTATGTACAGAAACTAAAGGATTTTTTTTTCTTTTTGTCAAGGCCTATTGAAAAAAATGATTTAAACAATATTTTTAATATCTATTTTAAAATTAGGCTCATATTTTAAATGTTAAACAAGCTGAACAAGAAGCAACAGCTCAAACATTTAAAAAACGTATTCAAGACAATGTTCTTCGTGTTCAAGGCATGACAGAAGAAATATCTTCATTAAAAAATGAAATAAATGAACGAAAACAAACAATAAATGAAAAAGTAATTAGTCATTTTTCTTTTTTAAAATTAATATTTTAATTACGAATTTTAATATTTAGGCTGATCGTATTAATGATCTTGAATTAAAAAATCAAGAACTTGAAAAATTTCAATATGTACTTAATTATAAAATAGATGAATTAACACGTTTAATTAAACCACGTGAACAAGAAATTGAACGTATGCGAAATCAATTACTTGAGGTAAATTTTTTTTCTAATTTGTGTGAATAAAACGAATTTACAATATAAAATATTCAATAAATTTATATTGTTAAATTCATTTGTCTCTCACAAATGAACGAAAACTGAATTTTATTTAAAAGAAAACAGTTTACGTTTCATTTATTGTTGTTTGGTGTTATTTCTTTTTAGCCTTATAATCATTTGTATTCATATTCTACAAACGTAAGATTAATAATATGTTCATATTAAGATGGCTAGTGAACGAGAAAAAAAAGAAATAGAATTAAGTCGAAATCGTTTTCATAATGTTGAACAAAAACGAACATTACATGCTGTTGATACACAAGTGGAACGTGAACGTCAAAAGGTAAAAACCATCAACAAAAAAAAAATTCTTTCTACAAAAAATTTTTCTCTACAGAGAAAAGAATATGATAATGCAATGCGACGTATTAAAAATGATATATTAGTGCATTTTGCTGATGTTAGTGATATAAACCGTGTTAAAAATGCTGTTGCTCAGTTATATGGAAAACATGTGCAAAATGATAATGTAAGTTTCATATTTATTTTGGAATCCCTGAAAGATATGCACGACGATTCTAAGGGTATCGTGTGACCGTGCGATGTGAAAATGAGGTTTATACGAGTTGGAATATAGATAAAGATAAGTGTGCATGTGGTGTGGTTGATAGGGTTTACTGTGTCTCTAAACTCTCGTCTTCTGTATACCAATTTTATTTTCTATGGGTAAAAAGAAAAAAATTTATATTAGGTAAAAAGTATATATACAACAGCTGATGTAACTGGTGGTATATCTGAAGAAGTCCTAGCTCAAGATCGTCAACGATTATTTCTTGAACGAACAACATCAGATTTAAAAAGAAAATTAAATAGTGATTTACATGCAACAAAAACAAATCGAATGAGAATTATGAATGTAAGATAGAAAAACAAAAGACGAAAAGATATTTTCTTAAAATTTGTCTTTTTTATTAGGAAAATGCACTTCTACTGCAAGAATTGAATAATTTACGCCAAGAATTAAAAGTTGTTAGAGGTAGAATACAAGATTATGAAATTGCAAAAACAACATTTGATGAACGAGGTGTACATAGCATTGATGCTCTTGTACAAACACTCAATGCTGACGCAGGTTTCAATATTTGTTTTTTATTACTAGTAGATTAAAAAAAGAAAACATTGCCTTTTTTTTTCAATGACAGGTAACTACGTTGTTCGTCATCGTGATAGTGAACTTATTAAAGAAGTACAAAAAAATCAACAAGAAATTCTTCGTCTTCGACAACATCTTTCACGAGTTCAAGCTGGTTATAGTCCATTATCAATGGATACAAATATTAATGATGAAACAGCGAACATTTCTATTCTTAAACTTGTTTGAAAAATAATCTTTTTCTTTTAAATAGAATAAAAAGCTTTTATCGATTGTTTGATCGAAAGACTGATTAAACAATCTTAAAGTATTTCATTATTTTAAATTGCTTGTTAATCATAAATAAAAAAAAAACAGTAACTTATCATAAAAAAAAAAGAAAGTAGAAGAGAGAAAAAGAAAAAAGGAAAGTATGTAAAAAGTGTCTTTCTTTTTTTTTGTCCATTATATAAATATGTCAAAAAGATAATATTGACACTGAAACGAATATGACTTCCAAGACAATATAAAAATTGATGACAACGGTAATGTAAAAGGTGGACATAGATGAAGTATTTGTTGTTATTGTCAACACAAATATAGAAAAAAAAAATTCTTATAGTTGATGTGACGTTTTTTTTCTCGTATAAAAACATTCGATGATGAATCAATTCACTACAGTTATTTTATTTTTTTTTACTGTAATCATCTTGCCTTCGGGACAAAAGTGACAGCGCAAAAGTATACATATATATATATATATATATTTAGACACACTTTCATCAACGTTCATTTAAGTTTTTTTAATGGCGGTTGGTGATCATTTACCAGTTATTGTGCCAACGTCAGCTAGTTTGAATTCATCTTGTGTATCAAAATCTACATCACCATCATCATCACCAATAATAGAACGACGACGTTTTGCACCAACAGCTACACATAATAGTTCAACGTTTATTCGGTTTCCTACTAACACACGTCAATCAACATCATTTGTACCTATATATCGACCACAAGCAAACGTTCTATCCGTACAACCATGTTCACTAACAACAGATACTCAATCGTTATCAAATAAATCAAAATCATCAAATACTCCGCCATCAAGTATTACCAGTGATCAACATAAACATAATTATTCTCAACAAAGATCTAATCCTATATTAAACAATCCTTTATTAAATCATCGAAAAGAACAACCAAAATCTTTTCCAAACAAATTTTCAACGAATTTTTCGTATACAACAAGAATTTGTTTATCTTCAAAAACTAATTCAAATGGTAATCAACTATCAACAAATCGTGCAAGTACAGCTCCTCAGTTAACTCATCAAATAGAAAATACTTCTGATAGACTAATAATTCCAAAAGATGATGAAAATTCTGATCTACAAGAAATTGCATATTTTTATGAAACTAAATATAATTATATAAGACGTTGGTTACATGATGTTCGACAAGCAACTTATTGTACAGAAACATTTCGTAAAACAAAACGTTCAAAAAAACGATTTGTACAATCTTAATTTCTATTTTTATTGCATTGCTTTTTTGTATCATTTAAAATTTTTATTAATCTTTTCACACGAAAAATTCAAGAAATAAAACATACAAATAGTCACACATGCAAAAAGAAAAAAAAGAAAAAGTCATTCAAAAGAAAAAAAAAAAGAAAAGAAAAACACTACATATATTTCATTGGAATGAATGCTTAACCTATATCGGGTAATGAATTAGTTTCGCCTTCACAAACATGTTCCCAAAGAATATCGGACCATTTAAGTAAAAGCATCGCACATGCAAGAAAACTTCGTCCACATATTAATTCGGTTATTATTGTCCATTGATCTGTTTCAATTGAATAACATTCAACACTTTCATGATATTTACCTGGTTGTTCATCTTGACCACCACATACATAAATTTTTTCATTAACAACAGCTGCACCTGGTCGATAACGATGTTCACGCATAGGTGCTATAAATTGCCATTGATTTGTCGTTGGATCATAAACTTCAGCTAAATTTGTATTTTCTGTATTCGATTGTAATCCACCACAAACATAAATTTTACGTTTAAGTACAACAGCTGCTGAACCTGAACGTGCAATACGCATTGGAGCAACATCATTACTCCATTCGAGTTTTCGTGGATCAAATCTCATGACTAGATCAACTGCATCGCCTTCTTCAAGTACGGCTCCACCTAAATAAATATAAAATAAAATAACTAATATTTTGCTTTTCGGTTAATTATTTTTTTTTTTACCGGTTATATACAAATATCCATTCAGAGAACAACAAGCTGGACTGGTCATACCAATTTGCATTGAAGCAATCTAAATGATCAATTAACTACGATAAAATATTTCTTTTTTTTTTTTTTTTTGAATACATACTAAAGTCCATTTATTATCAGTTATTGAATATCTTTCAATAGTATTCAAACGAACTTCTCCATTTGTTCCACCACAAGCATATATATAACCATCAATTAATGCTAAACCTAATTCTGATCGTGGTGTTAACATATCTGACAATTGTATCCATGTATCAAGTTTTTGTTCATATTTCCAAACTTCTGAACTTGGTCTTCCTATATCAATAATATTTTTTTTTTTGAATTAAATTTTTCTCAAATCGAACAAAATAAACATACCATTCGGATAATCACCACCACATAAATAAAGAGTTGAAGCTCCTAATAAAAATTTAAATGAATTAAGAAATAAAACAAAACAAAAAAGAAAAGTCACCTGATGCAACAATAGCATGTTTTGATACAGCATATGGTAAACAACAAAGTTTTTTCCATTCATCTCTAATACAACAAAAACTCAATCATTTTATTTCTATAGAAACAAGATTATTTTTATAAAAATAAATTATTTCGTCGACATGACAAATTGTCATTGCCATAATTGGTCTTCTTGTCTAATAAGTGATATTTTTTTAAACCGATTATGATTTCATATTAAGGTTTCCTTTTAGTTCTGTAAAAAATTCATACCTTTCGGGATTATATATTTCAACACCACGTACAACAACTCGTTCATCTTCTCCGCCCAAAAAAATTAATGTTTCAGTTAATTCTAAAAGCAATAAGACATATTTTCACAAATGTTAAGCATACTTCAATGAAATAAAAATATCTACCTGAGCATGTACGTGGTTTTAATCGAGAATTTGTTGTTGACATTTCAGAACGCCTATCGACAAGTAAGTGGAATTGTAATGCTTCATGAAGTAATTCACGACATATTGCATCTTCTTGTACTGTTTTACAGCTTGCCACTCTATCCATTAATACATACTAAATAAAAATTTTAAAAATTTCATGAAACATGGGCGTGTTAATGTTTTCTTTTTTATTGCATACAGGACTAACAAAAGCCAATCGAATATGTTGAAGTATCTGAAAAGAAAAATATTTTTTTTTCTAATTTACTTGTACAATTTTTTTTTCTATTATAATTTTACCAAATGAAAGTCTGTTTTACGTTGTTCGGGTGCATAATTTAGCCAACGTAAGCATGCTTCAAAAACTTCATCTTCACTTGATACTCGAAGATCGTCTTCTTCTAAAAGTTTGTTTTTTTTAGATTCAAATCCGTATTTATTTAATTAAAAAAAAACAATGAAAATTGATATAAAGGATCTCAGACTAGAGAAGGATGTTCAATCAGATTCTTGGATTTGTATTTTCAAAGAGTGTGAAAAGACGACAATAGAGAAATCATCCTTCAAATAAATTTTCTTCTAAAATACTGATGAGCTATTGCTTAAATTAACTAGAAGAAATATCCAATTTAGGGACGTCATTTGACTTCATTTTTGTCTCAGTGAGACTAAGACAAGCTTAAAAGGACTCGAGTCTATGACACACTGATAAAGAATTATAACCATAACGACGTTTGGCAGTCCTGACAGCTTAGACAAACATGTAAATATCTTTCTCGAAATATTCAGTATTCAAAAAAAATTAGCAATTTATGATAGGAGGACACAAGAATCGAGTCTGCTTCGAAATCGAATCTTTTGAAAAAGACAAATTCGTTTTCGTTGAAAAGTTTAGGATTACCAAATGTTTCTANAGTAATGGAAACATTTAATCTGTTTCACCCGTTAGTGAAGTTTTACACAAAAACTGTTTTTATCGAAATTTCATTATTATAATACCAGCTGAATAGGGATGAAATAGCACAGAAAAATAGAGCTTCGTTTTCTCTATCACCTCATAAAAACAGAAAATTCCATCAAGCCTTCTATACGAAATTGAGATGCGACCGCCACTACTTTTGGGTACCCCTAAGTAACATTAATTTCTTTTCATGGCATGAACTACTTGGAAACTGGTACTCCTAATACTGAACGTGTGGGTATGAGTGCGAGTGTAAGCGAGTGGTTGTAGCTCCTCTTTATGCGGACCCTCATTCATGTTTCGGCGCGATTTTGTTCGAGAATGTCACTGATGCTGTTTATTCACTCACGTTGTCTTTTCATGTTTTACATTTTGTGTTTTGACGTATCTTGATTTGAACCAGAAGTGCATTGCATTGGATTGCTTTTCATTGTCAATCATGACAGTTTTAACAATATTTGAAATTAGTGTTGCTAGAAACAAGTATCTTTTCATTGAGCTTGATTTCAAATGAGTCAATAACTTTTCCGTTACGTTTTCAATCTCTGTCAACTCGATTTTGTGAATGAAAATGCTACAAAGATATTCATCGCGGATATTGAATAGAAGATTGATGAATTTTGATTTGGGACAAATGAATGCTGTATATAAATTAACAAGTAAACAAGTGAGATCATCATCGAAAATACCTATGAGATATAGTTGTGGCTTGAACTGGAAATGTCAGCCGCCTAGTATTTTATAACCAGTGAATAGTAATTCCCATCTACCCGATAATCAGATGGATGAGTAAAGATAGAGTATATTTTAGATATTGGATTCATGCCTTGGGTCGAGTGGTTTGCCAACTTGCTCATGAGTACTTATAAGTTGTTTCAATAAATTAGGAAAAATGGGTTTCTCCTAACTCGTTTGTTTATTACTAATATCTTAGTCATATCCCTATTCTATCCTGTTTAGTTGCAACATTCTGTATTTATTTTTTTCGATGAAATATGCACACGATGAATCTTCTTATGACAGCATATGATCATCGATACATAACATGTTACAGCGCTGGTGCTGACGATAGAGTAGTACAACATCTTACAGCTGATGTTATAGCATTAAAAATAAAACTCATCATGGTACTAAAAATGAGTGATCTTTTATTTTTGTTTTTATTTTTATCAATAAAATATATTATTTTTAAGTACCCAGGTGACTCAATCATGGCTGTGGTTCGTTTCACAAAAGACGAGATTCGATATCTGATTACCCAATAAACCGATGTCTTCTCTAGAAAAACCAGTCGGATCCGATCTAGATTTCGTCTGAATTTTTATCGCGGACAAAAGCCGAAAAATGCTGGATTTCATCGAAATGTGTCACCCACGTTCGGGATTGAACGACGTCAGATGAAGAGAAATATGGCGCATGAAACCAATTGGAAAATGCGAAAATTCATCGACTTCCAACAGTAAAACCTAAAGCAAATTATGCTAGATAAATTCGTCAGTATCTTTTGTAATCTCACGAAGGATCTTTTTTCAACTGTTCAATAAGTTTCAACTTGACTGCTTGTTTAATTACCAAATCTTATTAATTTATTAAATATCCTAGAATGGTCTAGTTTCTAACGTTTTGTGAGTAAATCTATGAATATATCCTTATATCAATTTTTGAGCTCTTTACTATGATGTTATATTTTACTTTTCTACTAAATAAGTTTCGGCGAATCTAAATTTATGCGTTGTGATAGATACTCAATATTACCGATTATCTCAAAGTTTAAAGAGGAATCAATGTTTGCTGAGAGAAATAGAGATCTATTTTTGTTATATCAATTAGCTATCTGATTATAAGATTCATATTTAGTATGGATTACAAGCATCAATTTTTTTTTCGATTGTCATTGAAATGTTCTTCAAATTTTACAACAGAATCATCACATATGTATTTGAGAGTCGTTTCTATTCATATGATACAGTCATCAGTAGAACATATCGTGTTTACCATTTCAATAGATAGTACTCTCGCTAACTACAAATATTTAACTCGATGTTCTGTAGATGTACTTTGCTCGACATTGTTAGATGAGTTGCTGATAATGAATTCCTTAGAGCGGTTTTTGTAAGTGAATGGTTCATTTTTGCCAATGAAAGTATAGATATGTGAAGAGCAATGCCTAATCCATATCATTCATCGAACATTGAATAGATACTGAACATGACAACCTAGTCGATCATTTTACTCTGATGTACAGACAGATACTAAATTGATATACCCAACCGACATTCCAAAAAAACATAAATATCTCTCCAAGTAAAGGTTAATTCATCTTTAATCTTTGAAACCGGTGTGGAAGTGACAGTGTTAATATGGTACATTAATGAAGTGTGAATGTGTTGATGTGGTAAATGTGTGAAGTGTTGTTTTGAGATGTGAGTATGTTGTGTATATGCGTGCCTAAGTTTCATTGTGATTGGCTGAATAGATGAAGAGAAGAACCACATGGACACGTATATCCACATTTAAACCGACACATATATCAACATCCAAAAGTATACCCATGTACACACATCCAGCTGGATACGTACTTCTGATACTAGTGTCGATTGGATTTGTAAAGCAGTAATTTCCACAGACAGAGTTGAATATTCAGTCGAGATTCAAGCGAGTTGTAACGACGAGCATTACTCTTTATTTTGATCTTCATTTCCATGAAAACGTTTTGAATTGAATTATTGAATTTGTCATGATTTACAACTCTCTAGTCGAGAAATAGAACGCTAACAGCAAATGATGCTTTGCTACTGGTAGTGTATCAGATAGATAATTCTAAATTGTTCGTTTTAATACATGAATTGCATTTAAATAGTACGAATTCTTATAAGGAGAAGGCAAAAAGTTTCTAGACAAAAATATTTGACTATTTTTCGCCTATTGAAATGCATTAATAGCTTATTAGAGTGAGCATTCTGTCCTCTTTCAGAATATTTGCTTAGAATTTTTCTATAACATTTGACTATTGAGCTATAAGTAAGTATTGATTGAGTCCAGAACAAATTTCTGAAGAAACAAAAATATTAGTTCTCTGAAGACAATCCTACATCAAATAAGTATCCTAAATATATAATACTTGAGGGTGATCTCTACTCTACAAAACGATACAAGAGTGGAGAATTTTTGCTGAATCCAATAAAAAATGACAGAGTTGTGACAGAGGATCACGTTGTGTTGAAAAGGCAAACATCAGAATAATAGTTGTCTTTTTATGATAGAATTTGTCGAAGCCTTTATTGTACTTGAAGAGGTTGTAAAAAATATACTGCTTTGTAGAGATTATTTTCTGTCGTTCAATATATTGAATAAAATTTTGTGGCATGCTTCAAGCAAGTTCTATTGGAGACTTTTACCTCTAAAACACATTTTTTTCTAGATGTACTTATTGCTCAAGGTCCAAAAGACATACAAAAATTCTAAGAATATATTCTGAAAGAGCGCGACATTTTGATTCTAATACACTACTAATGCATTTAAATACACGAAAGAAAGTCAAATATGTTGTTTAGTAACATTCGGTCCATCCTTTTATGTATTCTAGAATATCAACTGACTTCCGACAAAAATTTATCAATACAAATTGTTTTTTAGACATATTCTATCCGAAATAATTGATTCGAATATGGTCTTCATGAAGTTTTGAAAGATTCACTACATTTCGTGATCAACTGTGCTTCACTATATCAAATTAGAAATATTAAATTTCTAGTCGTACAAGTCTATCACTTTGTAAAAATTTCATTTTTGACAAGTCCATTAAAATTTGAAATCTTAATCAAGAGAGTAGATGAAGATGAAGGAATGATTGAAGACTCGATGTTAGAATTCTTCTAATTGTCATTAAAAATATTAAAAATAAAAAGTTAAACAAATCCTATTACCAATGACAACTCATATAATCTTCTTACAGAAGGATGTACCAAATTTAAAATTGCTTCTAGAATATTTTATATTATTACTTACGATAAAGTGCACAGAATAAAAATTATCTTTTATAGTGAATACATGATCATAATTTAATACAATGCATTAATTATATATAAAGATAGTATCTTTATATTTAAAATTTAATAGAACTTATGAAGAAACAATTCTCAGTATCCCTCACCCTTTGAGTTGAACCTTAGTGAACAGTATCTATCATAAAAAGAGCACATGCTGATGGTCTGTATCTTAGGAAATCAAACTCTTCTAGTGAGCTGTTGTTGTAGGATCCTGCATTTGTAGAAAGATTATTTTTCGAATTTTGATTTGGAACTTTGTCTACATAAAGACTTCAATTAGAGTAGCTTGAAAAAGAAATTTCAGAGTTTTTAAATTAAGTCTCTCCGAGATATGAAGCTTTCAAAAAAAATATGCTGTCTATACGGGCATGGAAATGAGCCTATATTTTGTACGTTCCATAGCTCGAAGAGACTAAGGCCAGAATTTCTGAAGTTTCTTTTTCAAGCTACTCTAATTGAAGTCTTTGTGAAAGCAAAGTTTCAAGTCAAAATTCGAAAATATGGTCTTGCCGTAAATGCGAGTCCGACAGAAAATTCACTAAGAAACGTTCGATCTCCTCAGAAACAGACCATAAACATGTATCCTTTTCATAGTAGATATAGTAGACTAAGGTCTACAAAATACACTAGCTTCTAGTTGTAAAGTGAATCGACACTTGGAAATATTCTCTAGTCAATTTTTATTATTCTGGTCCGTAGTTTAATTTAAAAGATAATGAAATATCCGTTTCTTTCTCTCACATTGATACCTCAATATAACGATCATCCAATTAAATAGTTTCTATAAAGTTCGATCGTATCTTGAGTATGTTTCTAATCCGACTATTATAATACTTAGATATCACGCTTTGTTGACTTAACAATACTTGTTAATGCATAATTACGAATCAATTTTTTTTAAAATTCTTCTTCATTGATACTTCATATTGGTTTTATTGGCTTTTTTATCCATGAATCGATCTATGTGGTCTTACTATACTGACTTATGGAGATTCATGTTTACTTGATGAAAAATGATTCATCGCTATTGATATATCTTTAGACCGATTTGATTTTACTTTTAATTGTGCATTCTATTTTTAGTACCGTGCTAACTTTTGATATTCTTCAACAAAAAAAAATTATGTGATGAGAGAAGTTCTTCAGTTGATAAATTAATTTTGAGTCGTGACTATATGCATTAAGTAGATCCAAATGGGCTATAAATAGCTTGAAAAGAGTTCGTGTCCTTAGCTTATCACTGAGGAGATACTGCAATGAATGAAGGAATATTAGAAATGTTTATTTTCGAATTTCAACTTGAAATTTAGCATAGAGACAGGTCTTAATGAGAATAGTTCTTTTTGCAGATGGTTTAGATCTTGTTGCTGTTCCTATCCTAAGATACAACATCATGCTAATAGCGTGTATTTTACATCATATATATAAACTAGCCGATTTTATGTTCTTATTTCAGTATAGAAGCAAATCAAAACACCTGAAACTATTCTCATTAAGGCCTGCCTCTATGCAAAGTTTCAAGTCGAAATTCGAATATTCAGTTTTTCTGAAGATACCACAGCATTCATTTAGAAAACTCCTAAATATGCAATGTCTCCGCAATAATAAGTTAAGAGCACGAATTCTTTTCAGGGTATGTATAGCTCATTCTAGATTTGCATAATGCACATAGTTTCAACTAAAAAAAAAAAGATGATTAATCGATTGGAAGATTTCCCTTGTCAAACAATTATTATTAATTGTCATCTTGCATTATCTTGTCTCATTTTCAGCTATAATTTTTTTGTCGAATATTTTCTTTACGTTCTTACTATTATCAATAATTACTGACGTTATAATCAACATATTTCCATATGGTCACTAAATGGTTGTTATACTTTGTTCAGTTCTATTGTTAATCGAACTTTGACTATACCATTTTAACAACATTATATTACCTACAATTGTGCATTGAAATGACTTAAACATCTATTTGAATATAAACCTTTGATATTATGTCAGGATTAAACAATATATTTAAATTATTTCTTTTTAATTCTTGAGAATATGATAGTTTATATGCCCGATAAAAGCAGCTTCAGTTTAACAATAAACTTACTCACAGTTGTCAGTCTTCTTTTCGGATGTTTTCAAATTCTTTTTTATCCGTTTAATCAATCAATATGATGAAAATGTAAATATTTTCTTAGTTCTTTTGATGTTTTTTTTTATTCCTACAGCCAGTGTTCACGAGGACTGAACTGATAATAATAGGGACAACTGCGTAAAAAATCATCGTTATATACATATGTTTGTTTTTCTATGAATTAATTTTTGCTTTTGTTTGAAGTTCGAAACTTTTTTTTATGAAAGAGTTTTGTTTCAACTTGAAATAAATGAAATAGTTAAGAATGTATACTGTTCTACATGTCTATATGAAGTATAATATGACAAATAATAAGAAGAGCAATAGAGAAAATCATATACTTGATTAATCAGATAATTATTATTAAGAAATATTGGTAAGCATAGATTTGTTAATCATATTATAATTTTGATACAAGTCTTCGAAAATAAAAATGACTTCTAGTTGCAAAAAAATAGAGTCTCTGATAAATTCTAAGCCCATATTTGTCTATTTCTAGAATTTGCAATTACAATTCTGTTTAAATTACCCATAATTACAGAGTAAATATTTCTCCTCAAAATGAAGAGTCTTTCAACTCTCTATGATGTTTGTTTGTTTGTCTGGGATACATTAACCTTGCAGAAAACATTACACTAGCTTTTCCATACAGAGTACGAGAAAAAAAAACTCTTGTACTTACTTTAAGGTTAATGTATCTCGGTCAAAAAAAAATTGTAGAAAGCTGAAAGATGTTTCATTACATAGAGGAATATTTATTCTCTCATTCTAGATAATTCAAACAGAATTCTATTAGTGAATTGTAGAAACTAAAAAATGTAAATTTGTGTTTTTTCAGAAATTCTAACCTTGGAAAACTAGTAATCATTTTCATCTGCAAAACCTTTCTACTCAAATCATTATTTCAATTTTTCTCGGTTTTCATAGTAACAGAAAAAAAATGAAAATAAACTTGAACGAATAATTGTCAGAGCTATGGAAGGTTCAATTTAGATATTACTACATTTTATAATTCTTCAAAAATTTTTGTATGGCGTACAAATGAGCAAAAACTCGATAGTGAGTCATGATTTCATGAATTTAATTGAAATATTGCCCAATAAAGAAAAGACTTTTATTTTATTCATTGTATTAAAGTATTTTAGATAGATAGAAATATCAAATTTATTACAATGAATAACATTAGATCTTATAGTAGCAACAACAAACTTCGTAAATTAATATTTAAGATTTAACAATACTTGCAATAAAATTGCTTGAACCATATTAAGCTGTTGGAGACCTGTTATGAAAAGAAATTGAAAATATAGGCAGGATTGAGGTGTTATATTTGGAGAATTTTCGTTTTTATCCCACGAAACTGAGCGTTTTTCTTCAGTATTTTTTCTCATTGATCCTTGTAACAAGGATCAATTCTAGACCTGTACTTTGATATACTCAATGAAATGTTCTAATGGAAATTGGATAGCTACCCAGAAGATACGAGATACTTTTTTCTCAATTTTTTTTGTAACTAGTGACCAGCGCACCCTATACATTTCTCAGATGACTAGAGTTCATCGAATGCAAAAATTTTTAGATTCGGACACGCACCCGACTGCGCTCCTTCTGTCTCATCTTCGTGACTTCAAGCCACCTCTGGAAACAGAATTCAATTTTTTATATTTTTTTCTTTCAAGTCATACTTGAATCTAACAAGGAATATACAGTTATTTCGAAATTTAATATATTTGTTTTTAAAATTGTCGTGTATAAGAATTGTACGAACTCTTTCTTTGGTTAAATCTGATTGGTTAATTCATTAAACCATCGTAATTCAGAGTATGAGCAAGAATAAAAGAAAGAAAAAACGAAATTACTCACTCAATAATTTAGTATTGAGAAATCGACATGAGTGATTCTTTGACAAAATTATCAACTGAATTAGAATCTTTAATTGATAAAACATGGAATTTATATGTAACTGTAACTGATTTTCAAGCACAATCTCAACCTCGTGTTGATCAAGTACTTAATGAAATTATTGGTTTATTAAAAGATGTTGATCAAATGAAAGACCAGTTTCAAGATGTACATATTCCTGGACAATTATTAAAGTAAAAACAAAAATAATCCTTTATTTTAATATTTTTTATCTATTCATTTATTTACTTAGTTACGTTGATGATCTTAAAAATCCTCAAATGTTTACACGTGATTGTTTACAACGTACACTTGAACGAAATGAGGAAATAAATGGAAAAAATGAAACACTTGCTAAATTTGCTGACACATTAGCTGTTGAATTAAGTTCACAATTTCCAACACAAATGGCTCAATATCGTTTATGGAAAACAAAACAATCATCTATTGATCAGTAATCATTTTTTTTTTTGTACACAGGATGTTTTTTTCTCTTTAATAATAAATAAATATAGTTCTTGAGTTATAAAGAAATGATGCCGATGATTGTATAACTTCTATACTAGTGTATTCGACTAAAATTGGAGAAAAAAACATCATGATGTCATTATTTTTCACCTGTTATCGATGATTCTTCCTTTTTAGGTAGGAAGAACAAATAACACTATATATATATATATATATATTTGTCATTGTTTTCGTTTGCTTTCATTTAATAATCATGCTTGATCCACAAACGTTAGATGAAATTGATGTACTAACACGTACTGTCTACGGCGAAGCACGAGGAGAATCTATAGATGGTCAAGTAGCTGTTGCTTGGGTAATTCGAAATCGAGCTGCTAAAGGTCGGACATATATGGGTAAAACTATTAAAGATGTATGTCTTAAACCTTATCAGTTTTCATGTTGGAATTCCAATGATAAAAATCGAAGCGTACTTCTGAATTTGTACACGGATAGTGAAGAATATCAAAGTATTCGCCGAGTTGTAGAACAAGTATTAAATGGAACACGAACTGATAATACACAAGGTTCAACACATTATCATGCTCGGCGTATCCAACCTAATTGGACAATTGGCAAAAGTCCAGTGGTTACTATTGGCAATCATTTATTTTACAATAATGTTGATTAATTTTTTTTTTAATATATATGTATACACATGAATTGAAAGCTAGAACGATAAAAAATAAAGGATGATGTATAAGAAAGAATCTTTGACATCAGTTTGATCTAAAGTCAAAAGCAGGAGATTGTGTACGGTAGAGCTGTGTCCTACGATCTTGAGAGAAATACATGAAAAATGTGCTCCGTTTTACAGAAGTTTTGAAAAAAATTTCTATGTAATTTGACCGAATAGATATTCGATTTCGTTTGCTGAGCATTGAGATATAAGAAAATAGCTATGAGAATAGTATTTTGAACTATAGATTTTAAGTCTCACTACTAGAAAAACATGTGAAAATCAAAACTACACCCAAATCGAACATCATTTCCATGCATTTTTTAAAAATGTTTTGAAAAGATGGCGGATTTAAAAATAATTTTGTTTCGTAGACTATTAGATAAAAAGATGGCAGAAATTCTTCCTTTTAACTGCTCAAAATCACAGGTCGCTATCTATTGGCATTATCAAGTTATTTAAATTACATCCACTCCTCTTCAGTTATGACGTAGACACTAATTTGATCCTAGATTAAGAATCAACGTTTGTTCATCATTTGTAAACTTGCTGAAGCTTCCATAAGTATCTTTATATTACGTAGCAAAACTTATCAATTGAATAAATTAAGTGACCAGTGTCGTTTTCTCAGATTTCACATCTATTATTATAAAAAAAAAACCAACAAAAATAATATTGATTTACAGCTGATTGAAAAAATCATACGTTATTTGTCGTAGATAAGGATCGATAAACTATTGCTCTCCACACACAGTTGTTATCAAAGAAATATTATTCCATGCTTTTAGTAGTTATTCTCAACGTTGTAAAAAATCTAAATAAAGTGAAGAAAAAAAGTTTAACATACTCTTTATTTTTTTTTAGATTCTTTCTCAAGGACAATTTATTGAAGAGATTTAAGTAGAGTGAGATGGAGTAAATGTAGAAGAAATATCGAAGATGTTTTGTAAAATGCTTATATCTTTTTTATTTTTCAATATTTTAAAAAACTTTCTTCACAAACAATGTAGAGGAATTTCTCCTCTATCTATCTATGAAAGCAGTTTTCAAAAATCTTGTAGTATAAGGTAGTGGTGATGGATTTTTTCGAGACCTCCATCAACATTATACATTTACCCCACTTGGGGTAGATGTATAATCGTGCTGGCGCAAGTGGGGAAAATGTATAATCTCAGTTAAATTTAACAGAATCAGAAAAACGAAATTATTTTTCGAAAAAAAAAATTTCACAGATATTCTTTTGTGAAAAATGTTTGCTAAACGAAGTTCTAGAGGACTGAACTATTTCTCTACTTGCTTTTCAGTTCAATGAATGTATTATTGAAAAAGAAAGCGGTAAGTCGCAAAAAGGTCATTTTTTCTTAAAATATTTTTTAAAAAGAATCACATATTTGAAATCAGCACTAAATTCTGAGTAAAATGATGTGCTTTTTTCTATGGAACAACGACTTTCATTTTTCATCAGACCATTTAGGACCTGTAGGGGACTCCAGGATTATTGAAAATTTTTTTCTTCAAAATTTTAGTAAATCAAGCACCGTTAGATGTAAAATTCAATACTGATTTTGAATTTCTCGTTGAAAATCACAACAAACGTGAATTTTCATACAAAATGTCTGATTTATTATGTAAGTCTGAGTGTCATCTTATCTTGGACCTCATCAACTCTAAATAATAGCATAACGAAAACTCTTAAAAATCAGTGATTTATATAGACCAACGCAATTTCTCATGCCCTTTCCGATCATGACTTCAAAAATAAGTGAGAAAATACAGAACACGCTGAAATACTGAAAATACAACAAGGAGCTCCAAAAACACGCAACTAAATACAAGTTATTGTTTATGGAAACTAACTTTGAGATGAAATACATATCATACTGCAAATCAGTATTGAATTTTACATCTAATGGTGCTTGATTTACTAAAATTTGGAAGAAAAAAATTTTCAATAATCCTGGAGTCCCCTACAGGTCCTAAATGATCTGATGAAAAATGANACTGACATTTACATATAATTAAAAGACCGAATTAATTTAAGAACTGATCATTTAAATAGATTAATGATCATTCCTTTAATTCACTGACCGTTCATTTATGTTACTGATCATTCATTTAATCTACTGACCATTCATTTATTTCACTGATTTTATAATTATTTTGCTTACTGACCATATCATTTATTCTACTGACCATGAAAATAGTACCCATTTTTAAATGCTACACTTAAAACTCTATACATTAAGTGATGGTCACAACGTGTAGCAAGAACTTATTTGTTCTACATATTCGAGGGAAAATTTTAATTGGACTGAACATGTCTTTTTACTTATATATACGTAAGGAAAAAAACCACTTTACACGAACACAACTACTTATCTCAAACGATGTAAAATGATTATTTGCGTGTATCCTCACTAACAATATTTCTTTTTATTACAATGAGTTCTCTTCTTTTGATATAATTATTTTATTTTTATTTAGTATTTCTAAGTATTGCGATCTTTATATTGTTTCTTAATGTCGAGTCAGGTTTTTTTTCTGTTTCAATGAGACTTTTTTCTGTGTGTAAGGAAAATAAAAATAATGTTGTCTCTTGACGTAATTGCTAGAAGGTGAACAGGACAAAGTGCTCGAAATATTCTAAGTCCCAGGGTTTTCTATTCTACTTTATCATTCACAGATTACACAGATTTCTTCTATGATATCCTTGAAAAAAGACAACATTTTTTGATATTCTCACCCATAGCTTATAATTCCAACCATTGCTTTTTTCGCCAATACATCGTTAGGTAATGAATTTTACTCAATTTATCATACGTTCGTACAATTGACAAATAAACAGATCATATTTTAATGCATAGAAAAGAAAACAAATCGTTGGTAAGAAGAACATTTTTGGAGCAAAACAGTCAATTACACCTTAAAAGTTCAGTATAATTTCTTTTGCGAAAGCATCAGGTCAATTGTTCATAAAACTGATGTTCCATATAGTTAAATAATTGAAAGAAAGAAAATGAAAATCCTTTTTTTTATTAATTTTATTTAAGTTAGCTGCTTATAATGGGGTTTAATTGGTATAGATGGAATCCGTTTAAAGTTACCTGTACTATCGGTTTAGTTAAGTTTCTTTTGGGTCTGTTTCGAGAAAATATCTTCGTATCTATTTGCAAAACAGAAATCCATAGGAATAGGAATCGTTCTTCATAGAAAATCAAACCAACACACGTCCAAAAGATCAATTTTTTTCAGTTAGGACTATGCTCATCCGTCTCGAGAAGGTGTCCAAATTTCTTGAAAAAAGTAATTACATAAATGAAACGCCGTTTTGGCAAAGCTATACTCTTTTATTATATGTTTGAATGCGTAGTACGTTTAATTATGTATGGTGACCACGACAACAAATTTTTCATAAAGAATATCAACAAATATTTCTTCAAAGTATATTGCAATAAAGCATTCAAGTGCTCCCGAAACACACTTTTAATAAGAAAACATGCATTATAATTAATCATCGTTTCCAAATAGCTTCTTCTCTTGTGACTCGTCATCTTAGAAATGGGGCATCGCTAAGACACTAGTAGTAAAATATTCTTCATATTTAATTTAAATATTAATATGTATATAAAATGCTAAAAACAAATTAATAAATTACAGAAATCCTTACAGAAAATCGTTTATCAGAGAAGTTCTACTAACCTGTCTTTTACTTCATCTATTCAAAGGAATCTTCTAATATATCGAAGTTTTTACTGAAGAACATTTGTATATGTTGGAGAAGAAAACCTTGCCGGAGGAATCAAGAGAGAAAGATATTTAGTTTTAGAAATTCAAAAGAACAATATCGACAAATAGAGATAATGGCAAATGTCTTTGCAGCTACATATAGATATACTATATTCGATCGATTTATGTGTACAGAATGAGCCATAAATAGTACTCCGATAAAAAAAAATAGAATATCTACGCTTCGATTCAGTCGAATAGGTTGATTTTTTTATTATTGGTAGAAGCTTATATGTGGATAATGTAAACAAATACTACTGTTAAATTATATTTTTGCCCTCACTAAAGACATTTCAGCTATTGTCAAGTAAGAAAAATGTATAGGAAGTGCTTTATAGATAATCTTCAGTTATCATCTAAGAGAATAGGAAGAAAAAATCAAAACGAACTATATTGATACATACAGAGCAAGTGTTTAAAATTAGTCGTTTTAAACGCTGAAATTCGTATTCCATAAGTAGAATGCACAATTGCAACTCTCTGGGCACCAACCTCCTTACAAAAACCAGTGTTCCATGTTTGAAAATTCATTTAAAGCTACGATTAACCAAGAAACATGCCCATTTGATTGAACCAACGACGAGATATTTCATTTTTCATCGTAATACTATATATAAGCGTGTATTTTGAAGAAGTTTTACACGTATCTATACAGTCTCTTTAATTAAAATATTCTATTTTGTTTTTCATCCAATTCTGAATATAGATTCTTTAAGAAATGTATATATCATAGTTAATCACTAATAGCATCAAGCAAGAACAGATAGATAGATAACGAGGGAAGATCTCTAAATAATAAATCGATTTCAAGTCGAGACTATATTCAATCGATAAAACCTAGTGATTAGATAAATACTTTAGGATAGTTCGAGTTGTTAGATCTTGGTTACTGAGATATCGAAATTTGAGTAGATTTCTTCTTCAGGGTCTCATTTTTCAAGCAAAATCATACTTGTGCATTTTGACCTAAGACTTTGCCCACATAAAGGCTCCAATCTGATTAGCTTATAAAAAAAATTCACAACTATTTGATAAAGTTTCTCCGAGATACAAATCTTTCAAAATATCCATGTTTTTATAATCATTCAGTATATTAAACCATCGTTTCAGACGAGTGAAAATAACCAATAAATTAGGGAGCTGCGAATCCACGTTCTTTTATAGACCCGAATCCTACAGCTCTCTTAGCAAGATCCGTATTAGTCTATGTTTTTTTTTCTCTCACCATTATACATATATTCTCTTAGATTATCATTCTGTTACCATGTGATATTTTTGTCATAGATAATATTCTATAGCTAATGCTATTGAATCAGAGCTATATATATCTACAATTTAAAGAACGATATTGTTGTTATGTGAAATATAACATTATTTTTTGTGGTGAATAGATTAGAATTTTCATTATGTCTTTTTTAGATAAGAAAAACACATATATTGATTGTAAGAGTAATTCGGTGGTACTATTTGCAGGTAGGAATCAAATATTCATTACTATGTCTTTTAGTAAAAACAAAAAATCTATATTAGGATGTGTTGATGAGTTTTTTATGTAATCATTTAAACATCTGGCCAGTCTGGTTAAACACTCGAGAATCTTTTCTTTCCAACGAAGAGTAACAAAACATGATTTATTATATAATCTGATCTAATAAGCTGAATTTTACACATTAACTTTCTATTCATTATAATTCAAATAAAAATAAATCAGCAATTCTTTATTAAAAAATTCTAGTCTGTTAAGTGGTTGTTTTTTTATTTGTGACCTATAAATGTTGATGCAAACATTATATATGTTGAGATTATGTACAGTATGATATCATTCTTTTTTTTTTTGATCGATTTTGTCATTAAGTAAAAAGATAAAAGAACAACAATACATATCTTTCTTCTCGAGCATACATGATTTTTCTCATTTTTAAACAAGAAAATATTTCAATAAGTTTTCAAGTGGCTTGATCTTAAATGTTTCATGCTGTGTTGACGTGCTTTATATCTCTTTTAATGAAAGAAAAATCATGGATTGGTTTAATCCTATATAGATAAACCAATAGAAAAAAATCGATTTAGATATAGACAATGATATTTTTTTTTCTTCTTCTTCTTCTTCTTCTTCTCTCTCTATAATAAACGATGAAAAGAGAAACTAAATTTCTTCTTTCTACTATTCTTTCGATCGACTTTTGCTAATTATTTTTTTTTTTCATATATATTTCTGCTAGACTAGTTATCATTATCTATTGATTAATAGCTTTAAATCAGGTGAGAATCAAAAGAAAGAAAAACCGAGAGGCATGGAAGAACAACAACGTTTACATGCACTTTCATCACATATGCAACATTATTCACCAATGGATTATCATCGTTTTCAATCGACATATTCAATGCGTCCTTATCATCCTACAAGTGCATATACAAATCAAACTGATTGTTGGTTTCCTACAACATCACATTCAGTTCCAGGATCATCATCAAAATATGATCCAACACTTGATTATCATACGCATCCTCCATATATGACGTATAATTCTCAACAATCGAATTCAAATGATCTTGATTATAAATCAAATTCATCAGCATCAACTAAAGCTACAGTAGCTGCTTATTTTAATTTTAACTTTAATTGCGATCAAGCTCATAATCATCATCATCATTTGTTTACAGAAAATCCATCCATTGGTACAACATCACCATCACAAATTATTTCTCCAAATAATTTTAAACAAACAAATAATAATAATAATAAAACTCAAAATTTAAATGATTTATCATCAACAATTGGTTTAAGTCCAAAAGCATCATCATCGGGTGGTTCGTATTCTTTTTTTTTGTTTATCAAAATACAAAAAAAAAAAATCATTCTTATTTAGCTTCATCATCAAATGAATCATTATCAATTAATAATGGTGTTAGTCCAGCTCAATCAGTTCCTGTTAATACAAAACCACGTAAAGAACGTACAGCATTTACAAAAAATCAAATACGTGAATTAGAACGTGAATTTTTAAAACATAATTATTTAACACGTTTACGTCGTTATGAAATAGCTGTTGCACTTAGTTTAACAGAACGACAAGTTAAAGTACATTTATATTTAAACTTTTTTTTTTTCGAAAAACAAATAAGAGAAAATATTATTATTTTAAGGTCTGGTTTCAAAATCGTCGTATGAAATTTAAACGTGTTCGTGGTGCTGTTTTGGCTAAAATTGATAAAGTCAATCAAAAATCATGTTATAATACACCGAATGAAGAACAAGATGGAGATTCCGAAGATGACGAAAGCATTGCTAGCCACTAGATTTTTTTTCTCTTTTTCTTTTTTTTTGTTGCTGTATAAATAAACATAAATGATTGCTAAAGGAAAAAGGACGACAAAACAAATTCTTTCCTACGGCATTTATATCGTCGTCTTCTTCTTGTTGTTTACATTTCCGGCTTATTGAACTTAGTGAGTCGTCATCGGAGTTTTTTTTCTTGCCCTAATTAACTATATGCACACGAGTCCAATGGTGTCCAGATGGACGAAAAAGCCGTTTGTATTATTTACATCCCTGTTATTTATTCTCGAAGAGCACTTTATGGAGACACATAACGGAATAATCATCATATATATATATATATATTTGTTTTATCAATGTCGTTTGTATATATAATAATATCAATAAGAAAAAGAAAAAGCAAGTGCTGGAGTAAAAATCAAATGTTATTTGTTTAATCTCAATGGATTTCTTCTGTTTATCAATGATGTGGAACAAGAACAGAGAAAGTAATTTTGTCGTTTTTTTTCTATCCGAGGTGAAAATGAGGCGCAATAGATGATGCTTTCTTTAGGTATCTATGATCTTCGTTGATTGAAATAACAGATGATGAACGTCAAATGTCAAAGCTTTCTTGCTAATCGAATCGATTGCGGCCGACTTTTTCTATGTTGTTGTTGTTGCTCTTGCTTTTGCTCGTGTTAACCATCTGGGATAAAGAGAACGTCTTTCATTAGATTGAAGAAAGACAAAAAAAAAAAGAAAACAAGGAAAATGTCATATAAATTCTTTTCTTCTTTTCACCTGAAAAATTGAAATATAAGAAGATGAGTTTATTTACAATAGAATTCGAAATATTTATATATAAAATTATGAATTGTTTAATTGTTGTTATTCATTTGATGATATCATATGTATAAACTACCGTTACAAAACGAAGAAATAGATATAACTGTGACTGAAAGAATGGGAGGAGTGCATATGCAAGATGAGATTTCATCGATTGATTAGATTGATATAACAATCGTGGCATTTGTTTTTCTATATGGATATATTGGAGTAGTCGAATATAATGATACCGACACGGAGAAAAAGAATGATATCATGAAAATCAAAGTGATAATAAACGGGATTTTAATTAAGAGAGTACAAGGTTTCAATCACATTGAATGAAACAATTGAGAGAAGCGTTCTTTTTTTGCGCTTAGTCCAGTTGATTAGATCCCAGTTCAATTAAGGAAGAAGAATTAAGTGGATCTAGTAGAATATTCATATTCTATCTGCTACTCGACTCGTAATAACACAAAATGTTGTGTTATGTTCATATAAAACAAATACAAAAGTCTGTTCTTATGATTTATTGTAATTATTATGTTACACATGATCCCTTTGAATTTCAAAATTTATGAAAACAACGTGAACGAGCAAAGAAAGTTGGACCAATTTTATCTTGTTAATTTTTTTTAATACGTACTTACACATCATATATTTTACATTGTACAGCTAATTCATGTTGTTGCAATGTATTAATTAAACTAGATGCATAGATTTAATAAACAACATCTATTGTGTTTTATTAAGTTTCCATTTTCTCATGAAGCATATTCTTTCTTATTTGAACTAGGCTCTTTTCTGTCTTCAGCCTCAAAACTATTCATGAACTGTTTTGAGCCCGATGTGGATTTTGATCAATTTGAACCGACTCAAAATAGCCGATCGAGCTCAAAAAAAAAGCTTCGTCTAACGATCGAGGTTATTGTTTGCTGTACGCTCATATATAATTGAGTTTTATTAAGAGTACTTGACGACTCACGAATAGAAATGTGCAGGACCGAGCCAAGTCCGGAGCTGTGAAAAAAAATTGTCTCAGCTGAAACTATGATTTTAAGCGAATAATTTTATAGACCGTATCAATCAGAATAAAATTCAAGAGAGATAATCTAAAAAAGTACTAGTTGTCGACTAAATAAATAAGATCAAGATAAAAAAAAACTTGGCCCCGCGTATCTTTACTCACGATGGGATCGTTCCACATTATTGACCGCTTCTAAGTTCGAATTCTGTGTGTAGGACAGACGTTAGTGAAGGTGAAAAACTACCAAAGAATAAATTCTCTTCGTCATGCTTTACCGAGTTATAGCCATTTAATTGAAATTCTAGAGTATGGCACATCAGTTTAAGAATAGTGATGCTCTAAGCGACATAAAATGACGAAAACAAGTGTTGTAACACTACCATCTTTCTAAAGTTCGCAAAACGAAATGAAGTATCGCGATGAAGCTTCAGGTAGTAATATTTCATCGGAACTTTTCCATACAGATAGGTCTACTGATAACTAAGTGTCATTTCAGAATAGAAGGTAGAATGCCTTTTTATGAACAAATTTTGTTGAGTACAAGGTATAGACCTGCAATTTTCATCGTTCGAAAGAGAGATGTTCGGGGTATTTATCTATATAAAGTTCACTAAGACGAAATATGCTTTTGGGTCAACACTTTTTTCTTTGTGCATTTTCACAATAATCTCAACTTAAATTATATTAAAGTACAGTTAAAATCATTCTTTTTTTTCCTATAAAATAATCATATATTTCATTATCCTTAAATCTCTTGTTCCAAGCCGGTTTACAAAAATAATTTTGATAATTTTATAGGGACAATGCTGATTTGAGCTACATTTTGATATAACTTGAGTTGAGATTATTCTGAATATAAGCAAAGAAAAATGTATTGACTCAAAAGTACCTATAAAAAAGCATTTTTGGTCCTAATGAATTCTATACAGATCGATATATCGGACATTTCTCTTTCGAACAATGAAAGCCGCAGATCTATATTTTGTACTCAGCAAAGGTTATTCAGAAAATGGCAACCTACCTTCTATTTTGAAACCAAGATTAGACTACTCAAAAAATCTCAGTTCGAAAGAATGTTTCCTTTACAAGATATTGAATTCCCGGAAAAATCGCTCATACTTCACAAAATATTCTAGAATATTATGCTTTTTGAAATTGAATAGCTTGTGTAGGAAATATTCTTTTCAGCTGAAATTCTCAGAACATTTCAGTTATGAGTTGGACAAAATTTAAGATCGGAATATCTTTCTCGGCGTGGCCAAGCGTTACAGAATTTCATTTTTTCACATTAAAACATCTGTAACTTCTCAGTAATAAAAGCAAATTGTCCAAAATTTTTATCACATATAGATATCGTTGACGTCTATCATCAATAAAAAAAATTTCCAATTTCTCTTTAACCGCAGCAAAGTTATTCAACAAATACTGACAGTTACGGAACTTCAAAAAATGGAATTTTTTAAGGGTAGCTAAGAGTTAAGCATTTTTCTACGAAACAAAGCACCATAAAAATAAATGTTATGTGCAAAAGTTGTTCAGCTTTTAACAGGCTATTAGAATATGGGGTCATTTCTAATCGAGCCTAGTTTTATAAAATAAAAGATCTGAAATGTCGCCCGTTACGGAATTTCACCTTCTTTTGGAAGATCCTGATTTGAACCCAAAGAAAGCAATCGAAGTAAAAAATGGCTATATATTCGTCCCCAATATCAGATTTTCCATCGAATTGCTTGTCTTTTTCAACAGGATTCGACGAGAAAAATTTTTCAACATTTTTGATCTGAGAAATTTTCGAAAAAAATCAAAGCTAGAGTTTTGACCATCTAAATACTTCATTTCATTCAGAATTCGATGCTGATTCCGAATATAACCAAATATGTACATATCTATGAACAGAATTAGTGATAAATGCTTCATACTATAAAACCACCCAAAATTTCGAATGCACATGAAATTCTGTAACACGGTATTTGTAGAAGATGAATGTGCATATTGAATAAAGCTGCAGCTAAAATGGATACTTTCTGTAGAGCTTGTTGAGATCTATCCAAACACATTATTTTTGTTGCAAACATTAGCGTGCAAAATATACAATTAGCGAGTTTCGTTACAGAATTTCATCAAAAACGGAGATTGTTTCTGAAACTATTATCTTCGTTTCGTAGACAATTATCATCTGATAGAAGGGCCATGTCTTTAAAGAATACTTTGTGTCCGATCGATTAGTAACTAACTGAAGGAGTTTTTCTATTGGTGATAGTTTGTTGTCCGGCTATCTATCCCACCAACCTCTATTACCCAAATTTTCGAGTTTTTCATTCCAAGGAAGACCTTATTCATTCAAAGCACTCAATGATACTTAGGAATAAAATTCCCACGTTACAAATACTACCGACCATCCTCTTTTAAATGGTAGGCTCAGCTTTCTGCTTGTTGGATTTTGAACCTCCCTCATGCATGGGTGATCGATGCATGGCCATGCTCTTCTACAATGTGTTGGTACATACCGTGTCAATGTCTAGAATGTCAGTAAAATGATTATTACTTTACAGCGAAGAACTAAAAGAATTTATTCTTTGGCAGTATTTCATACTTCATTGTTGTTTATTTTATGCAAAGAATTCGAACTCGAAAACGATGCATTAGTTGAAATAATTCTCTTGTCATTTTTTTAAAAAATTTTATCAGAAGTATTTGATATTTGATCGTAATATTTTATTAATCTGATATTCGATACGTATGTCGAATGGTTTGTCTTCTAATTTGTTTTTTATTTGTCTCAAAAATAAATTTCAATCGAATATTAACTAACTAATAACATCAGATTAATATTTACAGATGATCATCGATATAAAAGTCAATCATTATACTTGATTGAATATGATGTCAATAACAATGACTGGTGATGAATTTTAATAAAACTCTGGTTTTTATCATAATATAATCTTTGTCATAAACAATCTATGTATTATTATCAACTAAAATTCGTTGGATTTCAAACAATCAGTAAACACTGAATATTATATACGAGCAATACAATTAGTATATATTATTGTTATGATACAATGCACAAGTAATATCCTTGGGATCTGATTTCGATCTGCTTGATGTTTTTGCCACAGATACCTGGAAGTATTCTCCAATATTAGAATTAGCCGCTTTCATTTTCGATCTTCGTGTCTAAAT